CCACGGTATGACCCAAAAGGTAAAAAAATATCCTTCAACAAATTTCACGACAGGGTAACTTCTGGAGCTCTGAGATATAGCTTGTTTGGCGTTTCAGAGATGCGGTCTTACCTAGTACCACTTTGAAAGAGTTCATCACAGCTTAAAAAAAACGCTGAGAAAAAAAAACTGCTGTGGATATTGGCATAAGTTTCCATGCAGGGATTTAAAAAATATTTGTTTTTCCACATGGTACTGGAACAAAGGCAGAACTGCAGACCAATGGAACAGGGTTGTATACACTGGCATCTCCCCTCAATCATATGATCATCTAATCTTTGATAAAGGTGCAAGAAATGTGAAGTGGAGTAAGGAAAGCCTCTTTAACAAATTGTGCTGGCATCACTGGACAGCTACATGCAAAAAAAAAATGGGCTCAGAACTCTGCCTAACACCATGTACAAAAGTAAGATCAAAATGGATTAAAGACCTTAACATCAGACCAGAAACCATAAGGTACATTGAAGACAAAGTTGGCAAAACCCTCCATGATATTGAAGCTAATGGTATCTTCAAAGATGCCACGCCACTGGCCGAGCAAGTGAAAACAGAGATAGATAAATGGGACTATCTTAAACTAAGAAGCTTCTGCACCTCCAAAGAAACAGTGACCAAAATACAAAGACAGTCTACAGAATGGGAAAGGATATTCGCCGAACACACATCTGACAAGGGGTTGATATCAAGGATATACAAAATACTGGTTGAACTCCACAAGAAGAAAACATCCAACCCTATCAAAAAATGGGGCAATGAAATGAACAGAAACTTTCTCAAAGATGAAATCCAAATGGCAAAAAAGCACATGAGAAAATGCTCTACATCATTAATCATCAGGGAGATGCAGATCAAAACCACAATGAGATACCATCTCACACCTCAGAGACTGGCCCACATTCAAAAGAACAAAAGCAACCGATGCTGGCGTGGATGTGGCAAGAAAGGGACACTCCTTCACTGTTGGTGGGAATGTCCACTGGTTCAGCCCTTCTGCAAAACAGTATGGACGATTTTCAAAAAATTAGATATTGAGCTCCCATTTGACCCAGCAATACCACTCCTGGGAATATATCCCAGAGAGGCAAAAATGTGTAGTCGAAGTGACATCTGCACTTGTTGGTTCATTGCAGCACTCTTTACAATAGCCAGAAACTGGAAGAAACCTGAATGCCCAAGAACAGATGACTGGTTAAAGAAACTTTGGTACATCTATACAATGGAGTACGATGTAGCTGTTAGAAAAGATGAAGTCATGAAATTTACATACAAGTGGTACAACATGGAAAGTATCATGCTAAGCGAAATGAGTCAAAGAGAGGGATAGACATAGAAAGATTGCATTCATCTGGGGGATATAAAGTAACAAAATATGAGATTAATACCCAAGAATAGCTGAGATCAGCACCAGGAGGATTACTCCATAGCTTAGAGGCCAGCCGGGCATTCTAGGGGAAAGGGCAGCTCAGATAGAGAAGGGAGCACCAAATAAAGGGTGTTTGGAGGATCCTCCCAGGAGGGGAGATGCATGTTGAAAGGGATTGCCCTGCCACAGAGTCGGGGGGGGGGGGATGGGGGGATGGGGGGGGAGGGATATTATCCATGGTGGTGGAAAATGGGCACTGTTGGAGGGATGAGTATTTGATCATTGTATAATCGAAACCCAAGCACAAAAAATTGTAAATCTACAACAGTACCTCATGGTGTTTCACTAATAATAAAAAAATGGAAAAAAATTAAAAAATAACAATAGCTTCACACCCAACTGAGGACATGAGTTTCCCCGCAAGAGTGGCTCTGCAGCACGGCTATGGCACCACAAAAAAAAATTTGATTTTATTTTTATAAAGTTGCTAACAATAATTTATTAGATTTAATATTCCAACGGGGCTGGAGCGATAGCACAGTGGTAGGGCATTTCCCTTGCACGCAGCCAACATGGCCGACCCAAGTTCGATTCCTCCGCCCCTCTCGGAGAGACCGGCAAGCTACTGAGAGTATCTCGCCCGCATGGCAGAGCCTGGCAAGCTCCCCGTGACGTATTCGATATGCCAAACACAGTAACAACAAAAGTCTCCAATGGAGATGTTACTGGGCCCGCTCGAGCAAATCGAAGATCAACGGGAGGGCCTTTACTTTACTTTACTTTTAATATTCCAACACAATCCCACCACCATTACACCTTCCCACCACCATTATTTCAAATTTTCCCACTGCCAACCAAGACTGCCCCAAAGGCAGATCCTAAATCATTTATTTTGTATTGCTTGATATGAATTCGATTGCCTCGAGGAGGCTGCAGTAATGTCTCCTTCGTCCTAGCCCTGAGACTTTAAAAAAAAAGTGCCATGCTCAAGGCTCTTTCAGAGTTAGGAGAATGAGACCCTTCATTGTTACTGGTATTTGGCATATTGGGTACGCCACGGGGAGTTGGCCAGATTATTCTTTGATATGAATGATCCACTAAAAATGATCGAAGAAGTTTCTTTAGGGGAAAGTGTGTGAAGTGTGTTGCATCTCACTCCGGAGAAATAAGCTCTTATAGAAGAGATCACTATCATGTCGTTCCAGGTTGAGCCTTAGGTGCTTATACATATATTTTTGAACAAGATTGGTTGCCTTTCACTTCACACCCCATCCAATGTGGTGTGCTACTCCCGGTACATCAGTGGCATAGAGTATGAGATATTGCTCCAGGAATTTTAAAACGATAAATGGGATGATAGAGCCGGACTTCAATTTTTAAAAGGTAACTTAGGGGTCTGGAGGCATCTCTGCAGCTTGTTGGTCTCTTCTGAAACTTATTTGTGATTATCTGGATCACGGCCGTTAATGAGCTTATATGGTGCAAGAGGCAGGTCATGGGTGTGACTGTCAGCTCTTAGAAGAACAGGGAGATGGGGGAACGTCTCTCATCCCCGACTTTGTGAGAGCCTGGAGATTGCAGTCATAAATTCCGTATACCTGGGTTTTTCAGCACATACATGCTCATGCGTGAGACTCACCGGAGTCCACACAGGAATGTTCATATGGCAAGTAGTTGCTCTAGTCAGGTCTCTCCACCTCACCAATGGTTCTAGAATCTTCTGTGACATAATCTTTGGTGGTGGAAAGTTCCACACAGGAATTTTCATTCAGCAAGAAACCCCTCCAAGTACTTCCACCTCACAATGGTTCCATACTCATGAATGATGGTGGAAGGTTCCACACAGGATATGATACAACAATTTGCCTCTCAAGTCAGGTGTTCCATCCTAAAATGATTCTAGAACCTTCTGTAGTACTTTCTTGGACCACAGATCCACTGCAAAGGGAGGCTCGAATCACTCAGGACACATTGGGACTTCAAGGTCTTTTCATTTGACATTATTGCTCACAGATTGAGATTGTCTCTGTGCCATTAAGAACCCTCAAAAGTGTGGAGCTAACTCCAGCTTCAGTCCGGACCAGGGCCCAACTGCTGCCCTCTGAGCCATCTCTGGATCTGGACTTGAGGGAATATGGGGGAACACTCAGCGCCCTCAGGCCAACCACAGTGCTGGGGGAGATGAGGCCTGTGGCAGGGCCTGGGGGTCTCTGGAGAGAGACAGGAGTGGGGGTGGGGCGTTTGCTTTGATCCCTGCACTTGGAACCTGATCTGGGGAGGTCTTCCAGAGACTTCCAGAGGTGGGGAGGGAAACGCTGAGTGTGGGGACGGGGTGCATATGTGCAAAAGACTTCATGAGCGGTTCCGTGCCACAGGAAATTTGTGAGGTCAGGAGCAGCAGCACGGAGGCCCTTGGCCCACGTCCAGAGACAGCCCAGCATGTCCCGCGTGGGAGAGCGGCCCCCTCTGCAAGGCCAGGCCTGGGCAGGCTGTTTTGAGACACCTGGAGTGGTCTGAGCCTGGAATGGTGTTTTGATGCCCAAGGAGGCCTGCAGCATGGATCGGCAGGTGCTGAGTGGCCCTGGGGAGCTGTGAGCCTGGTCTCCTGGGAGTAGAAATCTCTGAGGTGCCCAGAAGGGCAGGCCCCCCATTTTGGGAGCCTGAGGACTTTAGGGCTCCAGCTCCTGAGGACTTTAGGGCTTCAGCTCCTGAGGACTTTAGGGCTCCAGCTCCTAAGGACTTTAAGGTCTGGAGCTGGTCCCCTCCGCTCTGCGTGCTGGTCACAGGGAACCTTGGAACAGGGTATTTCACAACTCTGCCCAGCCCCCCTCCCCCTCCCCAAAGCAGGGCTTTAGTTCCGGCAGAAATGAACAATTTCCTACGAGGGTGTCAGGGTTTGGGGGCCGGAGCGATAGTACAGTGGATAGGGTGCTTGCCTTGCATGCAGTCGACCTGGGTTCTATCCCTGGCACTCTACACGGTCCTTTGAGCCTGCCATTAGTGATCCGTGAGTGCAGAGTCAGGAGTAAGCCCTGAGCACTGCTGAGTGTGGCTTCACTTCCCCCTCCCCCCAAATCCATTTCCCCAAACAAAAAAAAGCCCCCCCCCACCGGGGGGGTTCACAGGATTTAATTCCCAGATTTGGGGGAGGGATGTGGTGCTCTTGAGCCTCGGGACTCCACACAGGAGTTCTCAGTCTAACGGGAGCAGTTCAAAGGGGATTTGTGGAGTTGCTCAGGTCCTACGGGGCACCCCTGAGAGGGCTCCGGGAATTCCAGAGCCACCTTGGCGACGTTTGGGAGTCTAGAGTGATGCCTGGTATAGACCTTGGAGCATCTGAAGCCACCGTGTGATGCTGGAGGGGGCAGGGCTGGAGGCGGGTCTGCAGGGGCTCACAGTCCTTCTGGGACATGGTTATTTCTGCATGTGTCTTGCTTTGCAAGGCTGTCATCCCTCCACATTTGGTTTGGGTGCCTGCCTGGCATGCTCAGCCGAGAATCCCCAGCATCCTCGGAATCGTGCAGCCGTGGACGCAAACGATCTCTGGGCGCTTATTCTTTCTCTGTGCAGGGCAGCCTTCGTCTGCGCGGGGGTCCTCATGGCTGAGCCCATCCGAGTGCTGGTGAGCGGGGCTGCAGGGAATGTCGCCCATTTCCTGCTCTACAGCCTCGCCACAGGGACTGTCTTTGGCAAAGAGCAGCCCATCGTGCTGGGGCTGCTGGACGTGCCTCCCATGATGGGGGTCCTGCAGGGCCTCGCCTCAGACCTGCAAGCGTGTGCCCTGCCCCTCCTGAGGGATGTGCTGGCCACAGACGCCGAGGAACTGGCCTACAGAGACCTGGACGTGGCCATCCTGCTGAGCTCCATGAACAGGAAGGAGACCCTGAGCATGAAGGACCTCCTCAGGGCCAACGTGAAAATCTACCAGGGCCACGGCAAGGCCTTGGATAAGTTCGCCAAGAGGTCCGTCCGGGTGATCGTGGTAGGCAACCCCACCCATACCAACTGCCTGGTGGCCTCCAAGTGGGCGCCGTCCATCCCTAGGCAGAACTTCACCTGCCTGACGCGTCTGGACCAGCACCAGGCCCAGGTGCTGCTCGCGCGCCAGCTCGGGGTGCCGGTGCCTGACGTGAAGAATGTCATCATCTGGGGCAATCACTCCTCTGTGCTGTTCCCAGATGCCTCCCAGGCCACGGTGAGGGTGCGCGGCCGGCAGGCAGGCGTGCGTGAGACTCTGCAGGATGACAACTGGCTCCAGGAGGACTTCGTCCACAGCATACAGCCATGCTTGCCCACGGGCGCCGTGTGGTCCCAAACGCCCAGGGCCATGGCCACCGCCAAAGCCATCTGTGACCATGTCAGAGACCTCTGGCAAGGCACCCCGGAGGGAGAGTTTGTGTCCATGGGTGTGAGTTCCCATGGCAACCCCTACGGGCTCCCCGATGATCTGTTCTACTCGTTCCCTGTGACGGTGCAGGAGAAGACCTGGAAGGTGGTGCCCGGGCTCCCCATCAGTGATTTCTCCTATGCCAAGATGGAGCAGGCTGCCAAGGAACTGATCCAGGAAAAGGAAATTGCTTTGGACCTGCTTTTCTCTGACCGGAAAATCGCTCAGCTCAGTGATGACAAGGAAGTCCCCAAAGCTGAAGAATCCAGGCTCCTCTCCGCCCCAACTTCCAAATCCTGATAATGCGGATGGATATGACATGTGGACAGGAACACGCATCAAAGATTGTGAGCTTCTAATTCCAAATAAAACGTGCTTTTGATCAAAAGGAAGAACGGTGTCATGCTCGAGTCTCTGTGACAGGGGCTGACGGGAGAGATGGAAGACGGGACTGAGTCCTTGAAACCAAGGGCATGGTCAGAATCCTGGGGGTTGGATCCGCGTGATGTACTGGTACTGAAGGTCCTGGCACCACACTCAGTGTCACTCAGGACGCAGAAGGCAGCTGGGAGGGATGGGGCCTGAGTCCTAGCTACCCGTCAGCCCTCACGGCCACAGGAAGCCGATGCCCAAGGGAGAACAGAGTTTGTGTTGGTGCAGACCCTCTCTATTACCCGTGGGAGCCTGGGAGTGCAAGTTGGTGCAGTATCTGCTCTCCTGAAGCTGCGGTCTGTGTCCCCGGGTTCTGATCCTGTGATCCAGGGGGTTTCAGATCAGTGGGCCTCATGATTAGCTCCCAGTCCCCACTCTTTGTTCATGAGAACACTCTACATCCCACGAGCTCTTTCGACCCTCTGTGGAGACCAAGCCATCAGAGGACCGACAATGGGAATACTGGTCATAGAAACACATGTATGCGACCACTTATGGATGAGGCAGAGGTCACAGCAGGCTGTGTGTGGAGTGGGGGGGGGGCTTCAATGGGACCTGGACTGATGCTCGCGCTCCAGCATGTTCACTCTTGCCTTCAAAACGACCCCTCCACCTGTTTGCTATATTTTCTGGGTCATAGGGTCTTGCTCAGTGACCCAGTTGAGCTCAAAGAAGTTTCCTGGGTATTGAATTGTTTTCTGGTCTTTAATTATTTAGGGCCTTTATAGACATAGGAACAAATGGTCACCTAGGGGCCAAGGAGAGATGAGTCCAAAGAAACACTTGCTGGGAAACACCTCGACTTCCTGTGTATTTGACTGAAGATTCACAGGAAGAATCTCCCCATCATTTCTTTCCTGCTTCACAATTTCACCGCTGTTTCCAGGGACCTGCAAATGTTCAGAGACTTTGCTATCTTCTATGTTCCCATTGATTTCCCTATTCCAAGGCTTTTTGCCTCTGTGATGACTCATTTCTCTATTAAAGCAGAGGTTTCCATACTAAATTGGCTTCCCAAGCCCTTTGCAGAAACAAATTATTCAAAACTCTCCTGAAATCTATCTACTTTAATCACACAAAGTCTAAGGGTCCCCGAGCATCCCCGATGCAGCCAGGCCCAGCTTCATTCTGTCACCCCTGCCCAGTTCTCTGGGTGTGGTCTCCAGCAGCCCAGAGAAGACCAGTACTGGGACCATTTCAGCAGAGTATTACATTGCCCCAGGTCAGGGTGTGGACCTCCCACTATGTGGGACACGGATGAAGTTTACATATGCACATGCTCACAGGGTGTATGTGGTTCAGCGGGAACCCACAAAACTTGCAGATGGGGACCTGGGTTTGATCCCCCTTAAAGCAAAAAAGAACAACAAACACAGAAGCTACAACCAATGCCACAAAAAATAGAAAAGCAAAAAGCAAAACTAGGAACCAAATTTCCAACAGCATTAACACACACACCACTAAAATGTTGACAATGCATAAAAGTCCATACAGGCTCCTCTCAAAACAAAGTTTTTATTTGCAAGTTGTCAATAATTATGCTCCAAAGGAGTTACTATTTAGAACCTCAATGATACATATCATTTCCCAATGTTCTGCGAATCCTGTGAATACCTCCTTGGTTAAAATAAATAAATAACTATAGAATGAGCTGCACTGAAACCATCCTTCCATTGGACACCATTGGCTTAGCAGCGACACAGAAGAACAGTTCAAGGTCCAGGTTGTAAAGGCTCCCGGTGGATGAGGACACCCCAAAGGCAGAACACTGGGAAAGGCGGCCGCGGTTTCTAGAAGAAAATCATTCATAGGGATAAATTGATGTGGGTATAGATGTCTTCTACTAGAAAATGTTGTGGAGAAGAAGTTGATTAAAGTTCCATGTTAATATTTCTCTGCTATGCGGGAACAGGAAGTTCCCTTGCTGTGATTAAAAACTCTGATGCGGAACCAGAAGAGAGAGGGGCGGGAACGGAGGTCGGGAGAAGACTCCAGATCAACATCTTGAGAGCCTGGATCGGGAGCAAATCTCAGATTCTGTCCGGATGGAGGACAGCAGTGCTGCCTGCTGACTCATCATCTCATGGGGGAATGTATGGAGCACCAGGACCCCTCAGGCCAACCAACAGGCATGAGAGGGGAGGCTGGCCCAGGGCATGGGGATCCTGGAGAGCAACAGGCGTGGGGGCGGGGCACCAGATGTCTGCTGCCTGCAGCTGGAACCTGGCCTGGTGCAGTGTGTCCCAGGGACTTTTAGAGACAGCTGGACCCCAACTGGCCCTACTGAACTAGTGACTACAACTGAGAGAGAAGAGCAAGAGTAAAGGTGCGGGAACAGCAGCTCCGCGGACGCATCTGCTGACACACGCAACATGCAACCCACATGCAGAAAGACCCTGGACAAGCTGCAGAGGCAACGCCTTCTCTGGTGCCCCGGGACACCGGAAACCGCAGCACTGCCCTCTGCCCCCCAACAACAAGTGCTCAGGGCTCAGGTAGCAGGACCCACCCTGGGCGCTGCCCAATCAGCTCCAGCCCATGAGCCCTGGCCAGCCCTGTGGGCGTGGCCTCCAGCAGCCTAGAGAAGGCCGGACCCCAGGGTCCAGCTCACTGCCCCTTCTGCTGCTGAGCCCTGCAGACCTGGCGCCGGGAGCTGAGGCCATGGAAGACCTTCCAAGAGGCAGAAGGCCAGGCCGGACCGGTTACCCCAGACCGGGGGGACCGGGTCCTTGCCCCCGAAGCCTTACAGAGAGGGGAGCAACCTCACGGCGAGGAGGAGAACGCAGGCGGCGGACACCCGGGCAGCGCTCCCAGGGCGCTGGGCACAGAGCAGGTGAGGGATGGGGGTCTGCAGAGATGGGTTGGGTCCCTGCTGGGCTGGGAGATGCCAGGTCAGGCCTCAGGGCCCCAGATCTGAGTTCCTTGATCGTGGTGCTGCTGGGGAGCAGGGGCCAGTCCAGGGCTGCCCCTCAGCCCCAGCCCCCTGGGCAGAGTCGGTCTCCGAGGGTTGGTGGAGCCACGTGCAGGCAGCTGAGACACAGGAAGGGCTGGGGTTCCTAGAGCCTGTGGGGTGTTGGGGGGCTGCACTTGGGGGTCGGGCTATGCAAGAAGGGTGCTCCCACACGGAACCTGGCGATAGGCTCTCCAGATTCCCAGGAACCCTACAGGGACCCTCACTCCTGTCCTGTCTCCACCCACAGCGCCCCCCAGGCCCAGCCAGGTGGCAGAGGATGCCAGACAGAAGCGTGTCAGAAGTCCGGATGGTGCCCCCAGAACTGGCCCCAGGGAAAATGGACCCTGGGAAGAGAAGGGAAGAGGCCGGCCAGCCCCCGCCCCCGGGGACAGCGAAGCCCAAGCCTGAGTCCAGCAGAGCCCGGCGACCCCGCAGAGCTGGTAGGTGATGGAGGAGGCGGAGGTGACCTGCGGGGTGTCTGGAGAGCCCTAAAGGGCCGAGGGGTCTGACCAGGACTTGTTCTGGTTCCCGACTGACCGGAAGTGCGGGCAGGCACCAGGGAGAGGAGGGCGCTAGGGTGGAGGTGGGGGCACTCAGATACCCTGTCTGGAGGGGGAGGCTTTGGGGACCCTTCGGCTGGCTCCAGCTCCCCTAACCACTTCTTCTCTCGCTCCTAGGTCCTGCCCATCCCCCTGGGTACCACAAGACCAGGAGGATCCGGTCAAGATCCCCGGAGGAGAGCAGCAGCTCCGACCACAGCCAGGACAGCCTGGAGGCCAGGCCCGGTCCGCGCAAGCGCCAGCGACCCCTGTCTGCACCTGCCCAGCAGCCTGGTGGGGCCCCTTGGTCCAGGCTCCTCACCCACCTGGGCGCCCTGGAGGTGGTCCTGGAGGAGCTGCAGGCTCCGGGCGGCGCCTTCCTGCCCTCGCCTGAACCAAGGCCCTGGCAGCCCCTGCAGCCGTCGGCCTCGCAGCGCGCCTGGCTCGCCTGGCAGCTGGCACAGGCGGGCTCCAGCCTGCACTGGGCGCTCAGCACCCTCCACTCCCTGCTGGCAGAGCAGCCCAGGGGCCCCACGGGGCAGCCGGTCCTGCAGGGGGCGCCGTGGAGCGCGCGGAGCCTCTGGTGGCTTTCACCATCCTGAGCTCAGACTCTTCCCAGAGGCGGTCGCTCTAGGACTGATTTCCAGCCTGCTGTTGCTGTCCTGGGTGGCAACTTGCACCCAAAGGGAGGATCATCCACATCCACCCCCCGGATGCAGCCCCACACCCCACTGGAACTTTGTGAGACTGAGAACTATTGGATGCAGATCTACAGCTGACTGGTCTCTGCTACTCTCTGGGCGAGCAGGAACCAATGAGGAAAACTTTGTCTGCACGGAAAGAGACGTGTGTTTAGAAGGTTTTAGCCTCCAACGTGGCCTGATATGCAACTTCCCCCTTTCATGTTTTTTATTGTTTTTGTGACAAATAAAGTCTGGTCAAATGTGCTTTCTGGTGACTTTACTTTCTTCCCTCACTGCCGCTGGCTGGGCAGAGTACGTGGCTGGTCCAGCCTGAGATTGGAATCTTCCCGCTCTGTTTGGAAGCCCTCCTGGACTAGAGGTTCTCCAGAGAGCACGTGCCAGGAATCTCTGTTCTGAGTCTGAGATTCACTTGTATATGAGTCACTGTCTTTAGTTTCCCTGCTATTCAAATGTGCCACCAGATTCCTAATCTTTTTTTTTGAATGGATCTCAGTCAGTTATTTTCTACCTCTGGGGGAAATACAGTCCAGTAATAAGACTTAGAGCAAGAAAAAACATTGCCATGTTGAGTCTTAGGGCAACTTCTGCAGGTTCAGGACTTGTCAGGGTTTGAGCCAATTCGGGACAGGGCTAGGATGAGGTTTGGCATAGATAGGGGAAGAGTCCATGCCC